AGAGAGAGAGAGAGAGAGAGAGAGAATTCTCTCAAAGAATAATCAAAGATATGACAATAATTTGATAAAACTTAATTGTTTTTATGACTCTTTTAATTATTTTTTGTGTTCACTAATTGTGTCCTTCAAAACATAATTTAAATCTTTGTGAACTTTTCAAAACAATTAATAGGATTTTTATTATCTAATCTTGAAATTCAACAAAGAATCCAAAAATTTAAAATAGAAAGTTGAAAAATAATGCATGAAAAATGAATTATACTTATGAAAAATAAAAATTAATTATAATATTTAAAATAATTTATAAGTAATAAATGTCAATAAGTATTTTAATAATATAGTATATATTGGTATTTTAAAATTATATTAATTACATGCGAAAATCAATAACAAAATTCAATTTACAATTCACTTAAGTTTTAGAAAATTTCTGTGAATATTAAGTGTATTTAATCGACAAAAAGCATTCACAAAATTTTTAATTAATATTTAAATCCCATAGTTATTGGACTGACATTGAAATACCAGTGAATACTGTACTTTAAAAACATGAATACATTTTAATTCACTGAATGATTGAAACAAATGACAAACAAAATTTAATAGATATTTCAATTTAATTATAAACCAAACATTTTATGCCATATTTTGTCTGCTATTCAGAAAAAATAATAGTCAATGAAAAACATTTCAAATGAAATCTAAAAATAAACTATAATTTTATGTGTGTTTTATATTCAACAACAAAAGTCTATATTAAATGATGAATTAATATAAGTTATATTATATAACATTTAAATGGATCGACGATTAGATGTATCGCCGAAAAGGGAAGTGAAAACCTATTGAGACATTTGAGGTCAAGTGCACTATATTTGCTAAAGTTTTGCTCAAAACCTATGCATTTCTCGAATCAATTTTTACAATACATTTAAATCAATAGTAAATCCACGGCTAATAAAGTAGACATAATATAAACACCAAATATTGGCCTTAAATATGAATTAGCAAAACATTTGTTAAAATACATGTTGTGTTTGTCTTATTTGTGCCCAAATGTCCCACATTTTTGCAGTTCATTTGACTGTTACCCCAACTATTGTGGGGTCAGTCGTCGTCTATACAATTTCCTCGTCAAACATCACTCAATACATGAATTCACTTGTATTTGCATTTAAAATGTGTTTTATTATCTCAATATTGTCTGTAAATGAGAGGACAGATATTTATTTTGCACTTTCACTACACATATCAGCGAGAAATACATATTTCTTGTATTTGAATTAATAAGTAATTCAGTGTTTTGTCACACACTTTGATGATTAGGTTAAATAAATAGCGATTTGACTATTAATTGGACACATATTGCATATTAAATCATTTCAATATTTTAAACAAATACTTATCACTGAATCAAAAGTTTATTTAAAAAATCAGCATTAATTTGGAGAAGAAATTAAAACAAAACAAATGTCAATAAAATTAAACTTTTATTTTGCATAATTTAAAAAAGACAAAACACTAAAATAATGAACATTAAAATAAAGTAAATCAAAATTACATTATAATAAATTATTAAATAACTTTTTTGGTATCCATTCAAAGTCTAACAACTAATATGTTTATTAAACTAATAATTAAAATATTACTGAATAAGCATTTTATAACATGATATTCATAGGAATGATATTCTGTAGGATTGGCTGACAATCTTATAATCTAAATATGATTAACATTTCTTCACTCTATATATTATACTCTTTATAATGATTTCAAATCATATATTAATTTTTATGTTTGTTAAATGCTTTGTATATTGTGCTCACATTTACCATAATTTTTTCATTAAATTTTCGAAAAAATTCAATCAAAGGCACAGATATTTTCATATGGGAAATAAGTTAACAAATAATTTTCTAATTATTTTTAAGCCATATATTAATCAAATCTCTATTGTGTGTATGTTTTGTGTGTATTTAAGTATACATTAAATATTAATTTAACAACAAATTGAAGCGATAAAAGGGACGCCAACTCCGCACACGTCACCCTCTTTCTCCCTTCCGGCCTCTCTCTCCCCCTCTCTCGCTCTCTGTTTGTGTCAACACTACTGGACTTCAACCACGGGCTGGAGCTGTGTTTCGCTGAGCCTCAACGCCGCCATACCATTGATGCCATTCAAGTGGACAATGGCTGCGGTGACGACGAGAATGTGAAATATTTGGTGCGATTGAAACCAATAATCACACTTTCCCGGGAAGAAGCGCTCCGGGATTCGGATGGCGTAGAGCGCGGCGCCGATCACATACAGCATACCCTGCAATATGAACAACAGGAATGAGCCAATGAGGTGCGACTCCAAGACAATCGCCCAATGGATGCCCGGAACCACATTCGAGAGGCCGAACACGAGAAAGACGCCGACTCTGAGCGGCCGGAACTTGGGTTCACTGAATTTGTCCCACATAGAGATCACTATAGATATGATACACAGAACCACTCCAACCGTAATGTACGTCAAATACATGATTTGGTTGTCGTAAAAGCCGTAATAGAGTGCGGGAATCATTGAGCCGATGATCTGTATAGAAATGCCACAGTAGTCCAGTTTGGAGCAAAACTTGGACACTTCCCTCGAGTGACAGCTACACGTGTGGAAGATTGTCGAGAAGGACAGGCATGTGATGGCACCGCAGAAGTAGATGCCCAGCATTAGCCCATCCACGAACGAGCGCTCCCTGTAGTCGAAAGTGACCATTGAGTACGCGAACAGCAGAACGAAGAGCGCGGCGCCCAATCCGTGCGTCCATATGTTGCCCGTTTCGGTGTGCAATCGGAAGACCGACTTAAAGCACTGGCGAAACGACGGCAGCGGCGGTCTGTGCCCTTTGTGCAGGAAGTCGTTGTCCTGAAGCCATTTGGGCAGAGCGTTGAAGTGGCAGACGTGCCACGCGTCTGAACACAGCTTAATCACCGCGTGTTCGGCCACCGCTTCCGCTTCCGTCACAAACTTCTGCACCAATTGTTCGGCGCTTTCGAACCGCTGCCGAAGAGAACCGTTCCGTCGGTGGCTCTTCACCACCGATACCAGCGGCTGACCATCGCTGCTGCTCTTCGTGTGGGTCTTAATCCGGGTATTGGTCTTGTCGTCAGTGTTGGCCGATCCGCCACCACTCGCCTCATCGGATGAATGGCTGATCTCTTCGGCGGATGAGCTGAATGTGACAGTCGTTTGCAATCTCTGCATTGCTGTCCAATCGTCTTATATGATGCACTTCTGGGTTCCCGAACAATGGATCCGCTATTTGTGGTCAACAATAAGATAATCATAGATATTAATAATCAATACATTAATAATGGCTTCAAAACAAAATGTGCGCAAAACTCACGGTTTGAATGGATGTGTGGATTGAATGTGAGATCAAGTGATCACTCAATGAATGCAAACATTATTTGAAAATATGATTCAAATAATCATTAATTGCAATGAAATGTGTTTTAATTGAGTGATCGATAAATAAGTGGACAAATGAGTGGCAAAGTGTGGATCAAATGGCGATTTAATGGCAATTAAGGGTATTATCAATGAATGGCAAAACTTGTGGTGAATTAAGTGTTTCACTCAATGAATGGCTTTTTATTGAATTATTTTCAATTAAAAGTTGTTTTTGTTATTAATTTTAATAATGACTTCAATTGTGTTTTGCATTCAAAGCTCACAATCATATGACATATCATTACAGAGACAGACAAACAACATATTGACTCCGCTTTGCATACAGTTGTGGACATCAATTACGTGGACGTAATCAACAACTTTTGTGACATATTTTTGAGCTTTTTGTGCGATTTTATTACTTTTTATTGCATATTATTTGAACTGTTTTTGCGTTAATTTAGTTATAATTGTTTTTGATATGAAAAGTAGTGTTTTGTTTGCAAAATAGGTCTCAGTTTTTATGCGTGAAAATAGATTTTCCCGTTTTTATTCAATTATAGGACTCTTTTCATTGAATGACTTTTATAAGGAGGAAAAGTCATGATTTAATTTCACTTCAATGTTGTCATTAATTTTTAATTTAGTTTACTTTAAAGGCTATTATCTGGGATACAGTAATACATGTTTAGGGTATAACTTCAGAGCACCGGTAGATTACAATAACATATACTGCATATAATTTATAAACTCAATGTAAAGTCCAAAAGTCCATAGAAATTATTGTGCAACTAAAATAATGTTAAATATAGATATTAAAAAAGTAAATTTTGCGATTAAATTATTATGAAATTGTGTTGAAAAGGGCATTCAATATGAAAAGTACAGCCAAAGGGTGCCCTAAGTTATCATAACCACAAAATTAACCCTTCCTTCCAATGACCTGAAATTGAGTGCAAATTTCAACCATTTATTGTTATCAATTCTCTGAAAATGTCCAGTTTGTGGACATTTTCAGAGAATAAAATACTCTAAAAGTTGATAATTGATAATTATTATACTAAATGATCATTACATGAATTGTTTTTACATATAGTATACTGTACTGTACTACATAAACTGTACTGATAATCGCTTAATTATGTGATTAGACTTTGGGCTTTCATAAGAGCAAAATTAGTTATTTTATTTAAAAGTCACTAATTATGTGATAATGAAAGTTAATGCAAACAAATAAATCAGTTTTTGTGTAATATTTCGTAATTTTACTGATATTTTTACATAACATTTGATTAACTATTAATTTTACAAAAATATATTGCTATTAAATCTAATATTAAAGGATATCCTCTATAACTGGGAAATTAAATTTATATTGCGTTCACTTTCAGGGAATTCATTGTTAGAAACATAAAAATTAATTTATAGCCAAATAAAACATTCACTTTTAATATAAAATGTTCAGAAAATCATAAATAATACAATTGTTGTAATATTATTACATAAATAATATATTTTGGATTACAAATATAATCAATAAATTCTTATACAAATAAGACTATTAATATTATATGCATTAATTCAATAAACTATGTAATTCAAAGAGCAATACAGTAACTTATAATGTATTTACATAGTTTCAGTTGAATTACTTCATGTCATATTCAATTAAATTCAATATACATTATATTCTAAAATTTATTAATTCCTATAATTACACGATTTCTAAAAAGCAATTACAAAAAAATGTTTAAATAATTTATTTCTAAAATGAGTAATAAAATAATGAATTTAAACAAATGATTGATAAATTAAATACTAAACTAAATTGACAACGAAATGTGGTCACCGTGTGATGAGACCTACCTCTGGTGACTATCTCTGGTCATTGAATAGAAAGTTGAGTGTTTGTCGTTGAGGAGGGCGTTGGGAGAGTCGTACTCGACAACTGTCCCGCTGTCCATAACAATCACTTTGTCGTAATCCATAATTGTGTTCAATCGGTGAGCGATCGTAACGATAGTGCAGTCGAAGAACTCATCTCTAATTGTCTTTTGGATGAGTTCGTCGGTCTGGAGGTCGACCGCAGCGGTCGCCTCGTCTAACACTAAAATCTTGGACGACTTCTTGAGCAGAGCTCTGGCCAGACATACCAATTGCTTTTGACCGACACTCAGATTGTCGCCGCCTTCAGTGATTTGATGGTCGAGTCCGGCTTCCAAAGAAGTGGCGAATCTCTTCAGGTGAGCCAATTCTAGTGCTGTCCATAACTCGTCGTCAGAATATCTGTTAAACGGATCCAAATTCAAACGAAGCGATCCCGTGAAGAGCACCGGATCCTGAGGGATGATTGTCAGCCTTGATCTCAAGTCTTGTAGACCCAGATTAGCGATAGTGACCCCATCTATAGCTATGGATCCGCCGTCGGCTTCAATGATGCGGAATAAGGCCAACGTTAGGGACGACTTTCCAGCGCCGGTTCGGCCGACAATTCCCACTCGAGTTCCCGGCGCTATATTCACGTCAATCCTCTTGAGTATCAAATCGAGTCCCTCTCGATATCGGGTGCTGTAGTTATTGAAGTCAATGGCGCCCTTCGATGGCCACGACTTGTCCAGTTTAGATGTGTCGCCGAACCATTCGGCCTCCTGTTTCTCTTTGGTGTACTCTATTATCCTCTCAACCGAAACAATATTGGACTCCAAGTCAGTGCTTCCTCTAACCAGAAGGTTGAGCGCAGAAGTTATAGAAAGCGCCGAAGTGATGGCCAAACCGGCCTTTCCCGGCGACAACGAGCCCCTGTATAGCACCGAAAACAGGGCCGTGAAAAACACCGAACAATTTCCTAATGAATTCAAGATTAAATTAAATTTGATTCAAATTAAAAGCGTTTTTTGTGTAAATTAATTTCTCACCCAAAAACTCGAGCCTAACTGTGAGCCAACGCGTGGACACAACGCTCGGGTAATAACAGGTGTGATTTATGTCAACCTTACGGTTGGACTCGTCGATGAATCGGTGTATCGCGCCGTACGCTCGTATGGATGAGGCGCCGGCCACTGTCTCTGAGAAGTGGGAATATATGGGCGAACGCGACACAGACTCCAAGCGCTTCAACTGTCGCGACGTCGAGATGTAATACTTCTGTATCCCGTAGTATAGGATTCCCAACGGGAGGAACGCCACCAACACTACAGGCGTTCCCAACGCTATGTTCGCTATCAATCCACACGTCCTGAAGAACTCTATGGTTAGCGTTCTTATAGATATTGAAAGTGTGATATCTGTCACATCCGTGTCTTTGGAGAATCTATTGAGTATTCGACCTGTGGTGAAACAATAACCAGGGTTATTATAAGTTAGTTATTATGGTTATTATGAGAGAGTGAAACACTTTAATAATCATAATAATAATACCGATAGGAGTGGTGTCAAAGAAAGACATGGGAAGTCGGATGACATTGTCGAGCATCCGGTCGTGAAGAATGCTTGAGCCCCGAAGGCAGGACAGGTTAAGGGTAATGGTGGCGATCAGTATGAATATGGTCTGACCCATACCGAGCCCGGCGTACACTTCGAGCCTTTCCTGTGTGGAAATGGTAGAGCCGTTGACGTGAGCGTCATTAGACCAGTCACTCAACCAGACTTGAGTGCCGACATTGAAAGCGTTGGCCGCGATATACGCCACCACTAATACAATTGTGCCAAATATTCCGATCGCTTTCATGTAATCGTAATACACTTTATAGCCGACGGAACCGGTCTTCAGATGCTCTGTCGAAATGAGTTTCGAGTTCTCGATCTTCTTCTTGTCCTCTGTCTTCTGTTTTAATGCATTTTCTGTTTCGACGGCTTCGGAGTCATTGCCGCTAATCATTGAACTGCTTCTCATCGAAAACCTTCTTCGGATACTTCCGTTACTCGAATAACGAGACAATTGCCGCTCGATATGATTGGCCATCTCTTCGATGATCTCCATGTCTTCGGGCTCTACGATCTCTTCGGGTCCGTCGGACATGAATTCGGCTTTCTTCGGATACTTCCGTTACTCGAATAACGAGACAATTGCCGCTCGATATGATTGGCCATCTCTTCGATGATCTCCATGTCTTCGGGCTCTACGATCTCTTCGGGTCCGTCGGACATGAATTCGGCTAAAAATTCGGCAAAACTACCGCCGTTTCGGATTAGTTGCGAATACGAGCCGCACTCAGAGATCTGGCCGTCTTTGAGGACCACAATCTCGTCGACGTGCGGCAGAACCGCTATCTTATGTGTGACCAGAATTCGGGTCTTGTTTTTGAGCAGTCCTTTTGGTCCGATTGCGTTGTCGAAGATGTGTTTCCCGACGTGTGAGTCAACCGCAGACAACGGATCGTCCAATAGATACACATCGGCGTCGTTATACACAGCACGGGCTAAACTGATCCGTTGCTTCTGACCACCGCTTAGATTAATACCTTTTTCTCCGATTTCTGTTAAATCGCCGCCTATTTTGTGAAAAAAAATTTACAAATATTGTAAGTTTATTGTCATTAATAAAACGATAATTGATAAAAATTAAATTAAATTGCAATTAAAAAGTGCAGACCTGAGAGTAAAGCAAAGTCGGGTTCGAGAGCACAGCTGTGAATAACTTTATTATATTTATCGGAATTGTATTCTTTGCCAAATAAGATGTTGTTTCTGACGCTCGCGTTTTGGATCCACGCCTGTTGCGGCACATAAGCCATGGAACCGATGATATTCTTGTAGCCGGAGATCTGTTCCATCTCTCCCAACAGCGCCGACAGGAACGACGACTTCCCGGTCCCCACTTTGCCGACGATTGCAATCAATTTGTTTGGCTTTACGTCGAGTGATATATTGGAGAGACTGGGAGTCGTCTCATCGGAATCCCATTTAAAGGATGCGTTCGACAACACTATCTGGGAATCGCTTTTTGATTTTCCGTTTGACATTCCGTTTGCTATACCGTTGGTCACACCGTTGGCCTTACCGTTGCTCTGATGGTCTTTACTTTGATTGCCGCCAATACCTGGCGATTGATCTTTCAATTCATCGCAATTTATAAACTTATTTATCCGACGGATTGACACAAAAAACTAATTGATATGAAAAGGTTTTTAATTAATTAAAACTATAACTGAATGTATGGATGATTACCATCATTGTTGTTGTGATGAGTTGTGGAAAGAAGGCTAATGGTCGGCGAAGTATATTGAATATGGCCTGCGATACAAACACCTTCTGCGCGTCCAACACATTGCTTCTGTCAATCATTAAATAAGTGGAGAAACTTGCGATCGCCACCTATTTTACGGCACAAAATTGTATTTAATTAAAACTCATTAAAATCCTACTGAAAAGTGTAATAATAAAAAATAATAATTACAAAAAATGGGGCGGAATTGAAAGCAAATGTGATTCCGGCCGATAGATAGGCCTGTTTTCTTAGATTTTTCATTTCTAATGATCTGAATTTGCGGATCAATTGGTCAAAGGATGTCTCCCATGCGTACAGTTTAAGCACTTTAATACCGTTGAGTATTTCGCTCATGAGTTTAGTTCTTTGGTCTCTTTGCTTCAACAGACGGATCTGTTGCCCTCTCATCCGCGCGCCGATGAAAGCATTGACGGGCAGTAGAGCTAACATAACGATAAGTCCGGCCAACGATCCGTACTGTAACTCCTGCCACAACAGGTATATACTAATACCGATCTGAAGCGGACAGATCCACAATAGGTTAGCGAGTTGGACGTACTCCATCACCCTCTGGGTGTCCACAGACATTATGTTCACTATCTCTCCGGTGGTGAACACTTTGCGTCCATTCGGTGACAATTTAATCACTTTATTATAAATGATTGATATGAGTGCCGAACGGACTCTCATCGCAAACACGAAGATATGGTAATCGTATTGAGAGTTGAGGAGAGACTCAATGGTAGACGACGTGAACATAATAATGGCAAAGAGGAAGCCGTGCCATAACGGTTGCTTACAATCGCCGTATTGACCTGTTTTTACGTTTTGCAAATTAATTAAAAGAATCATTAACAAACACAATTATTAATTTTAATTAAATGTCAATTGAAATTAATATATTTCCACTAACTATAAGTCTGGTGACCAGATTCTGTTCTAATACCAGACACTAAAATACTTAATAAAGATTGTAATCAATGTTCAAACGTTCAAATATTTTGCAGATTTAATTAAAACAAATGTAATTATTATCACATTTTGATATTATTCACGGAATCTCAAGGCATGAAAAGTGATCTTTTTATCGCTTCAGAGAAAAGTACTGCATTTTATTTTAGTTTAGATTACTTGAAATCCATTAATTATATTATTTATATTATTATTAATTCAAATTCAGATTTTCTTTTGCAAATAAGTACAATTATTATCACATTTAAAGCTTATGACACATAATAATAATCATGATTACCAAGTACATTTAGAATATGTATGGGTCAGGGCAGCTGTAGGGCAGCGTATCTATGCAAGTTTACATTGAGTCATGTGTTTTTTGCCCATCCATAATTTAGAACAATTAAAATAATAATGCAATTAGCAATTCTATAATGCTCTATATTCAATTAAACCAGATAAATAAAATAATAAATTATGGTGAAATCACAATTGAATTTATCTGTCATAAGTCACGAGCTAAAATTTATTACCTTAATTATCTATTAAATTATATTTAATTTGAATTTAAATTTGAAATAATTATCATGGTCTTTTAGCACAATACGTGTAAACTAAGAAAATATAATTGATTGAATAAACATGTTGAAAAGCATACCAGATTGCATAAAGCCTATTAACTCCTTTAGCACTAAAGAGCTGACAAATGTGAGAACACTTGGGATGAGTTTAACGATAGCGACAAACAGAAGATGAGTCCAATACATCTTAAATATGGGCCAAATTATATTGATTTTCTCTCCACTTTCATTTGGTTTCAGTTTTGTATTTTCTTTGTTTTTGTTTTGTTTCTGTTTTTGGTTTCGTTTTTTGGTTAAATAGGCGTCCAATCGGTCGGCGATGACATCGGTTCTGTTGCCGGGACTCAATGTCCACATGTCCTCCTGGATGAGGGACTTCTTGAAGCCCCGGTATATAAGGGTTGAGAACCAGAAGAACCATAGCTTCGAGAAGAAAGATGCCGTCTCTTTGGGGTTCAACTCCTGTCGAGTGCGAAACAATCAATCAATTAAATTACACAATCGTTTTGACGCGTTTATAGTCTAAGGGTTGAGAACCAGAAGAACCATAGCTTCGAGAAGAAAGATGCCGTCTCTTTGGGGTTCAACTCCTGTCGAGTGCGAAACAATCAATCAATTAAATTACACAATCGTTTTGACGCGTTTATAGTCATCGATGCGTTAAACAACACAACATCGAGGAAAGTCATGGAAAGTCATTTTCAATTGAATTAACAAAACAAAAATCAAATAAATAATAAAATTCAATAAAACAAATGATAATTACTTTTTCGGTTTTTTGTTGCGATGCGTCGGAAAAGCAGCTTAATATGAGCTGCACTAATACTAGCGGCAAATAAATCAAACTCGTTGTGTTTGTAAACTCTTCGATGTCTTTGATTATATTTGAGGAGTGGATATGTATTTGTATTGATTCGCTTATTAACGAATAAACATTAATTGCATTACATATGGATAGGAGGGCCCAGAATATAAATAGTGAACCGGAAGTGGCAATACCTTTCTTACGGTTAAATGTCTGGACAGCTATTACTAACACCTGTTTAGAAGTTGCAAATGGAAATTAATTGCAATTCATTTGCTTTATATTTTTTGGTATTAAATTTTTAAAAATTAAATTTTTTGTTTATTCTTACAAATGTTAAAACTCTGATGAGTGTTGAGTAAAGCAGATATTTATGATATGAACTGTTTTGAGCGATCTTTACGATTGAATAAATGGCATCACAGATACTGACAATCAATAGCAGTATTGTCACAATCTATACGTAAGAAATAAATTGAATATTTGTTAAAATGATATTTTTGTAGTTTTTTAATGTAAAAATTAAAATATACGTACAAATTTATATTTACAAATTTGGTTGAACAGCTTGGTAATGTTGTGTTTGTGACATTGTTCATTATAACGGATATAATTAATAATAGTGAGAATACATATGAATACACACGGAATCCATACGAGAACTGTGTCTCTGAAACATAGGGTCACAAAAGGTGTACTCGAGTCCCAAATCGACGAGTTCTTCAATACATCAATTAATTCACTCATTAGTTATTGACAATCAATATATTTGTTATTTTTATATCAATATAAATGCTGTTTTCACGTGAAATCTTATAAATATACACTTTTTCAATTGAAATGAGAAATACAATTAACATGTAGTGAATAAAATGCCGAAACAGTTTTACACACTCTTTACTGACAGCGAAATTGAATGAATACTTGAGAACAGCTTATATTAAAAAGTGTTTCTCTCACACAGTATTCATCACATAATTAAATACAGAAAGCATTTGATGCGAAAAAGAAGTTTTTGAAGTAAAACTATTTGAGAGTTATTTCCATTTAATTGCTTTTAATTTCATTGAAGTATTTAATTCGTTTGGTATTGAGTTTTGGATACTTTCAAGTATTCATGTGAATGGGAGAGAGAAAGAGAGAAAATACTTGTGAGATATACTGTACAAATGGGTTACAAAAAAATGTAATTTTTTCAATTGGATTGTTAATGAGAATAACTAATATCACTATTAATTTTTAATTCAACAAAAAAATCATATGAAGTAAAAAGCAATTACTTTACTTTACTTTACTGTACGTGTGTTTAACACAAAGAAAGGTATGGGAAAATGTTTTTTCTTTCTTATATTAATATATCTTTTTGTTGTTTTATTCATTCATTACATTAAACTTAATATTAGTTTATTGATGAGAACCTGTATTTTGTTTGATTGAATGATTTCTCCACTTTTTATTATGAGTGCAACGAGAAAGAGAGAGAGAGAGAGAGAGAGAGAGAGAGAGATTGATTATAAATTATTTAATAACTTATTAATAATAAGACAAACAACAAGAAGAGCTGATCGTAATTTTGTCGCTGAACTTGAGAGAGAGAGAGAGAGAGATTGTATGTTATTTGAAAAGTGCTTTTGTACTAAAGGCAAAACATACCCAAAATTCTGATCCACAGAAATCTTCCATAACTTTGTGTCACAAAAAAATCAAAATAATGATAAATCTTTCAATTAATTGTCGCTTTTGTATTAATTTGTAAAAAACAATTCACATTATTTTCTTTAGTAATTTCCAATAATAACATTTGAATATTTTTGGTCACTTGTCTGTCAATTTACGTGACAATTGTTTTAATCAATCACTGTTTTAATAAATAATTTATGATCACTTATATCACACGTATTATAATAATAAACTATTATTTTCACTATAAAAATTAAACGTATAATCAAATCCTAGAGCTATTATTGATATCACAGAGTATTAGACAATTCATATGTTTTGTTGACGAATAGCAGCTATTGAATTAATTAATTAATTAAAAGCCTTATGTTTTAATAACGCTTATATATATAATAATGTCAAACGTGTATAAAAAATGTTTCAATTGTATTATTCAATTGCAAATATAATACCCAATAATGTATTTTTCAATCACAACACTGTTATATCTGTCTCTAATCGCAGAGACTCTCTGAGTCTCATATAATTGGCATTCAATCAATCAAATGCTTATATAGAGAGAGAGAGAGAGAGAGAGAGAGAGAGAGATTGTATGTTATTTGAAAAGTGCTTTTGTACTAAACGCAAAACATACCCAAAATTCTGATCCACAGAAATCTTCCATAACTTTTGTGTCACAAAAAAATCAAAATAATTATAAATCTTTCAATTAATTGTCGCTTTTGTATTAACTTTTAAAAACAATTCACATTATTTTCTTCAGTAATTTCCAATAATAACATTTGAATATTTTTGGTCACTTGTCTGTCAATTTACGTGACATTTGTTTTAATCAATCACTGTTATAATAAATAATTTATGATCACTTATATCACACGTATTATAATAATAAACTATTATTTTCACTATAAAAACCAAACGTATAATCAAATCCTATCATTGATATCACAGAGTATTAGACAATTCATATGTTTTGTTGACGAATAGCAGCTATTGAATTAATTAATTAATTAATTAAAAGCCTTATGTTTTAATAACGCTTATATATATAATAATGTCAAACGTGTATAAAAAATGTTTCAATTATATTATTCAATTGCAAATATAATACCCAATAATGTATTTTTCAATCACAACACTGTTATATCTGTCTCTAATCGCAGAGACTCTCTGAGTCTCATATAATTGGCATTCAATCAATCAAATGCTTATAATATTTATATAATGTCCTAATAGTACGTTCAAATGGGATATATTAACAATAATAACAATATCTTCTTAGATATAAAGTTCATTTTCATGGGATAACAACGATTAGATAACTGATCCAATTGTACATCACATCACAGGTACTGTACCACAAGTGCTATGAAGTGTTAGACGCGGTATAACACCATTCAATGCAATTTTCACGCTCTTAGAGGTGTTAAACCAATTGATAACTTGTGACCAAAACTTATCGGCGATACAAATAACACATTAATTAAACACTTATAATAGACAATCGGTGTAAAACATTTTGTAGTATTATATGTTTAAATAAATCATCGTAATGCACTACATATTGCAAAGTGCACTTAAACTATACTGTGATGATGAAGAGTAAAGACACATAGTACATTTTCCGATCATCAGTAATTAGCACTAAATTGATATTTCAAATCATGTTCAATGTTGTGATGAAATTCTGTGCTTTAAATGAACAGCACATATGAATGGATCGGTTTTATTTGAAATGCAAATGATTTCCTTTTCTTCGCGCAAATATTTTTGCCATTAGTTTGTCAGTCAATCATTCAGTCTGTCCTTCAAAACCGATTTCAATCGCACCCAAGAAAAAAAGTAATTCATTTAATAGTAATAATAATATCATAGATTTGTTCAACAATTATAAAACATTAAAGAAAGAACAATTGCATTCAATCTGTTAATCGATTTATAAGTTTTATTATAAATGATTATAAATTATTTAATAAGACAAACAACAAGAAGAGCTGATCGTAATTTTGTCGCTGAACTTGACATTAGTTTTCAATAAGACATTTCATGTACTTCTCATTGAATAACAGATAATTATTATGAATTTCTTACATATTCTTCCCTTAATTGTCATTTACTTGCATTTTATTATTGTTTTTTGATTTATTATTAAATAATTACACAGTCTTTCAGTAGAAAAAAGGAATAAATATTATTAATTGTTAAAACTTTGGTTTATTCTTACTATTGATGTTGTTATTGAAAGTCATTCAGAAAACTAATTACACTTGAAATATAATTCATTAAACAAATTATTGAATTAAAATTTGATAATTTAATTGAAATGTTATTCATAATATTTATAAATAACTATTAATTACAATGTGTATTATAAATGCATTACAATGTGTAATACTATATGCAAACTGGATGTTCACCAACTATTTGTAATTTAACGCACATTAAAAATCAAACATTAGATACAAATGTTATAATATTTGCTCATTTAAAGCCAACATTGAAATACAATTCAATCATAAAATAGTTCACTGGATCACAGAAGAGATTGTTTGCATTTACAACTATAAAAATATGTTACAAAAACATTAATTTTCAATGTTTTATATAATATAATGAACTTGTGTTACCTTTTTATGTACCGATTATACAATACTAACAACAAAAACAATATTTGCAATATATTTAGTGATATTATTTTACTAAATAGTCGTCTGTACGCTATTTATCGTACGTTTACGTCTATTCAGGTATTTTTGAAACGTTTTTTAAGTCAAATAATCTGTATTTTTGAACCCCAATTCCGCTGTTAAAACTAAGGTATTTATTGATTTGTCAACACCTGTCCATCCATTCAAATTCACTGTTAATTCTATAGATGGATATGTCTACATTTTTATCATTAAAACTTTACTATTAACTACAATATGGGTAAAATACCCAGTTTGTTATGTAATATCCACTGGTGTAGTGGTTGTAGTTGTAATATTTGAGTGAAGCCGGTGGTAGGGCTCATACTTTTGAGTAGTTTTGATAATTTAGATAAATATAAGTTATAAGTTATTGTCCACAAATATTAACATTAGATAGTGTTACCAATGGTTCTGATCCGGTTGTGTATCCGTCAAGAGGTCTACCGATTTCTATATAACCAGAATTAATGGCTAACCACTGCCTTCAGTGTAAGCAATAAGGCATTGATTATCAAAAATCACCGTTAATTTAAAATAAATTGTTATTTAACGACTGTTTAGTACTTTACAAATTGAAAAGTGTTTGTATTCTACTTTTCCACTAAAACATGTAAACATATTAAATATATTTAAATTTAATGTAATTAATATCTAATTATAAACAGCCAAACAAATAGTTGACTATAAATACCATACAAGGGATTAATAATCAATTTTTAAGTACAAAATAATTTGTAGTAATTTTCCAGAATATAGAAATAATAAATGATTAATTTAGAAATTCTAGATAATTAATCAATGTAAAAGTAATTGAATAGCTAGGCAATTTCTATCACACATTTATGCACAGGAAGAGTACCATCTTATATTATTATGTTAAAAATATTGTGCCAGGGTAGTTTAAAGCAAACATAACATTTGTTATCTAAAATCTTTTTATTAAATAATGAATGTAAAATTATTCAATAATTGACTTTAAAGTACAGTTACATTACAGCTGTTTTATAAATATTTTCGATATATTTAACCGTAAATTGTAGTTACTTTTAGTGTTATTTATTATGGGATTTAACTCTATTGAACAAATATGCCATAAGATTAATGATGGTTAAATTTTAATGTTTGACATTTAATAAAAATAAAATTAGTTTTAAAGTTATTTTATGTAATTATTACGGATTATATGATTAAAATAATTACTTTTAAGTATATTTTACTTATTAATAGCAATTAGCTTTTACATGATATATCGGTTAAACCTTCGATTTGCTGGCAAACCTTGTTCATTTTTAAATTTCATTTAATACCGGTTCTTTAAGACATAACATCAAGTTTTACTGACATTAGATATATTTAAAATCAA